ATTATGATACCTGTAGTGTAAGAATTTGGATGAATTGTACGATCCCCCGCAGCGCGGTACGGTATTGCCCGCGCTCAGGGATCAGATATTTCTTTATCCATTTATGTACGAGTACTCTACTACTATAGCTCTAGGGTTTTATAGCCCCTCTAAACCTTATCGTAAGCCAACGCTACCTGGGGCAAGACAATATCCGCAGTAGCCGTGTCATAGCTACTATACCTGGGCATCTAAGCCGCCTAGCTCTGTCGTGTATTAAGTCGCCTAATAGAAGGACATATCCCAAACGCCAAAGATAAGAAGAGTACGACAAGGACATTCGAAAGGGTCCGATATATTCCTCTAGCGTTCTGAGGGTAGGCACCTCAGTCTTCATCATCGTGAATGATTAATCCTCCTCCTTCGGCTTCTGGAACTACTGCCTCACCATCAGCACTACTCTCTTCTATGTGCTTCCCATGCTCCATTCCTCCTTTCGATATCGCCCCACCATCGACAGTCTTGATGTTCCCGGCGCCACCCCCACCACCCTTTTTCTCACCCTTCTTCCTCCTCTTCCTCCGATTCTTCTCGGTCTTCTCCTCATCCCTTCTCCTCATCCCTTCTATCTTCTCCAAAAACTCCCTCTCAGCCTTCTCCCTGTCAACCTCCTCCTCCATCAACCGTATCCTCTCATACTCTCTCCGCCGTGCTGCCTTATAAACGTGAAATTCGCCTGATCCAGCTCCTGCGCTGGATCCCTGAACGTTTGTGACGATCTCGGGAGGCGGAGGGAGGGTTTTGGTTTTGGGGCCGGTGGGCATGTGGATTTCTCGTTCGGGCTTTGAGAAGAGGTTTGTTAGGGCAGTAGCTTGGGCGGAGGTTGGGGAGAGGGCGCGTCGTTTGGTCGGCCGTTTGTTGCGTGGGTCTTGAGAGGTTGGGATCGCTTCGGGGATTGGTTCGGACATTTTGGTCTAAAGTGTAGTGATAGTGGAGGCGGTGGATTTAGCGGGTAGAAATTGGGTATTAATTTAGGTCTCAACAATTGTTGTTGGAGGGTGTGCTCGAGTAGACTATTTGCGAGGATGTGTGCTAAGTTAAGTTCTTGCATTCAACTGCCGGCCAAAATATTAGGGCAAAGTTACCCGGCTCAACAGCTATTGTGGCTGCCTCGCCCATCAAAGTCTTCAACTCGACATCCTCACCAAACATCGACAACCACAACAATGGCATACGAAGGCAGAGTCGGATCGCGCTTCGGGGGCGGAGGTGTCGCCTCGCACTCAGTATCAAACCAAGATAGACGCGAGCGTCTCCGAAAACTCGCGCTCGAGACCATAGACCTTGATAAAGATCCCTACTTGTGAGCAGTCCCCTTCTCCGTGCTCTTTGCTTACAGATCGTCCCAAAAACTAATAAGCTCAACAGCTTCAAAAACCACGTCGGCTCCTTCGAATGCCGTCTCTGCCTAACGGTCCACCAAAACGATGGCTCCTACCTCGCCCACACCCAGGGTCGCAAGCACCAGACCAACCTCGCCCGTCGCGCCGCCCGTGAAGCCAAAGAGGGTCGAAACCTTGATCCAATAACCGGCCTGCCACAAGGGATGATCGGCCAGCAGCTCATCGCGCCAAAAAAGCATCTGAAAATCGGCCGCCCCGGTTACAAGATCACCAAGCTTCGGGACCCCGTTACCCGACAATTGGGGTTGCTCTTCCAGTTGCAGTACCCCGAGATTGGCACCGAGATCAAACCCCGGTATCGGTTTATGAGCGCTTTCGAGCAGAGAGTTGAGGTCCCTGCTGATAAGAATTTTCAGTATCTGCTGGTCGCTGCTGAGCCGTATGAAACGGTTTCGTTCAAGTTGCAGGCTCGGGAGGTGGATAGAAGTCCTGGGAAGTTCTGGACGCATTTTGACTCGGATAGTAAAGAGTTTTTCTTGCAGCTGTTTTTCAAGACGGAGAGGGAGGAGAGGTATGCTGGTGTGCCAGGGTTGGCTCCGAGGGTGTGAGATGCTTGACGGGGACGTTACGACCTTTCCAATTCGTCGATTCGAGGGGAGATTGGCTGCGTGGCGAGCAATCTCGATGGGGTTCATGGTTTGCTTCTCTAGTTTTTCTTTCTACTTTTTCGCGCAAAAAAGGGCACATTCTGATTTTCAGTTAGACGCTGAAGGTGGGAACCGACCCGGTAGTAAATGTAATGTACTAGTACACTGCTACATCAAGGACAGAAAGGCAAGGGAGGCCTCCCAGCCTACCCTCCGTCCGAACTTCATCTAAGATATGGCAAAACAATAAAACTCCGAGTAAACCTTCGAACATACATGAGTGAGGCTCGATACACATCCAGATAAGTAAGAAGCAGAGAAGGAAGGAAAAAAGTGTAACTTTTGATATTTATGTCTTAGTAGCCTTTCGCCGTCTCTTCTCCTCCTTCCTAGCTTTCCTCTCTTCCCTTGTCTCGCCCTCGTGCTTTCGCTTCTTATCCTTCTTGTGGTCGCCCGCCTCAAGCGGTGGGACAAAATCCTTTTCTCGCTCCTTCTTCTTGTCCTCCTTCCTTTCCTTGCGCTTTTCTTCTCGCTCTTGGCGTGCGGCGCGTTCTTTGCTCTGCTTGGAAAGGAAGTACTCTCCGGACTCGATCTGGAGGTCAATCTTTGATTTTTCGGGAGCGGGAGGGAACGGCTAGGGAAGTTAGTATCTGCGGGTAAATAGTGAGGTAATAGGGGCAACGTACAGTGTAGGTCTTCTTCGACTTGTCTGTGATCTTTAGTGGCTTCTTGCGCTTGCTTAGGGTTCTCTTCTTGAACTGTGGGAGAAAGCGGTCCCAGTTCTCATTGACTAGTTCGGGGTCTTTTTGGAGCTCTCGTTTGATCATGAGTTCCTGCGCTTTCCAAATTAGCATCACTCATCCTTCCACCTCTCAATACTAGTGCCCATACCTTAATATGATATATCGGATGTATATTATCCATACAACCCTCCACTACCCTCCTAACCTCCTTCAATCCTTTATATCCTCCCATCGCAGCAACCGTACCCCCCTGAACAAGTATATAGCACCCAGTCAACAACTCCAAAGCCTTGAGCGTGCTCCCACCCGGCCCCAAAATCCTCTGTCGCCGCTTAACGAACCTCTCCTTGTTCCTAACCAGGTTCCCGATCTTGATGATATCGCACGCAACCCCATCCTCGAGGATCTTGATCGCTTGCGAGACAGGAACCGAGCGAGCCAGCAATTTGATCAAATCCCGGGCGTTCAGGATTGCGGCGGGGTCGTAGGTCTTTCTAGTGGTCCTCACGGTCATGCTACCCTCTACCAAATCCAGTGTGCAGGCAATGTGGTGCTTTTCGAGTGTGCGGGTTATTAGCGGCCAGGCCTCGCGCAGGTAGGTTTCGCGGTACTTGGGGAAGAGTGTGGCGAAGGAGGACTCTTCGGTGAGGGCTCCGGCTTTGTTGTCCTCGGCTTTGAATTCTTCAATCTGGGATTGTCAGATTTATCTGTTGGCTTTTTTCTCCCTTTTTTGTCTGCGATGAAGTTGTGAGGGGGATTAGCTAATTACCTTCCATTTGTCGATGTCACCGGTGTCCCACGGTTTTTCTTTATCGTGCGTGGACGGCATTGCGACGGTGATGCTAGAGCTTGAAGTGTTAATTTGATGTAGCGCTGGTGAGAAGGTTGTTGGAGAGAAATGGGCGGAAGAAAATGAAGGCCGGGTAACTTTGATTTCATTTGGCTACTAGGTGGAGTCACAAAATATCACCAAAGTTCTCAAAAAGATCAAATTCACTGCTCTTGCGGCCAATTGGAAAGCTGTATTATACCAGGTAGATTCCCAGGATAAAGCGGAGCCCAAGTCTGGCTCTGATCCCATGTCAATGACCCAGCGCCCTATTTACACCCCATATATCCCCCACTAATCACCCCACCAAAGCCCACCTTATCATATTTCCTCCTCTACTCGCCCAGCCCTGGTATGGTACAACTAGCCCCCAGGATATCATTCCCCTTATCTCATGAGCTTTCGATGTTTCTTAACGCTCCCGGCTCCTCGACGTAGTACCCCTTCGGCGGCTGTCTCTTCGCATGGATCTCAGCTGGTGTAAGAGGTTTATCCACCTCGCTGACTGCCAACAATTCCTTAACTTTCATGATCATACCGGCGGTGTCGGGGGAGACAGGGTGATAGACTGTCTTCATGCGATGTCGTAGGCCGAGGGCTTTCAGGACACCGTTTTGACGCTCGGTCATTCCGATGCCGGAACGGATGAGGGTTATTTTGAACCAGGACGCCTTGAAAAAAAAAAAATTCAGTTCCCACTCTGTAGAGTATTAGTGAGTTTTTTTTGAGGATTGGGGGAGGCACCTTTGGGGTGACAGAAGCCATGATTGCTGTCGTGGGGTGCTGTGTGTTCGCACAACACTTGCCTGAGAGAAAAGCGTAACTTGAGCCTCCATGCGTGTCCTACGCTGACAAAGGGGGGCCGGGAACAACCAACCTTGAAACATTCCACATTCGAGTTATATGCCCTCCCAACCTTGCTCCGAGGACGGCATCGACGGCACTTCTACCTACGCAATGGCCATTACAGAGCCGGCCCAAGGGGCCATCAAAAGGGCCGTCAAAAAGGTTGTCAGGAAGGCCACTAACAAAATGCCCAAGCCTTATCCGGCACCCCCAGATCATGGGAAATACATCTACATCTATAACAATCTCCTGAACAACCGAGTTCTGTACTCACTCTCACGGACTCTCGATGTCGGTGCCCTCCCTCAACCCACCCCCGTTCTTGTGGGAACCGTTGCTCACAAACATTCCAAATAGAACAAAGACGCCCTCCGACAGCTAACCTTCGTTGGTAAAAAGTCCGTTCCAGCGGCCCTCCGCAAAGATGTCTGGGCACCCATGGCAACAGTAACCTTCAAGGAAACCCTAATGGGTGCAAACACCTTCCGCATGCTCCGGGAATTCCGCCGTCTGCACGAAACCTCCTACTCCAAGGAACTCCTCCAGAAGTCCAAAAAGGAGCGCACCCGCATCCTCATGAACCAGAAGGCAAATTCGATCGCAGATCTAGCGGAGAGCATAAGGATGCAAGTGGACCGCATAAAGAAGATTGCCAACCCACCGCCGCTCAAGAAGGGACATAAACCTAGGAAGAATCCGCCGATTGAGTTGGCGATACCTCAGGAGGGTGATGTGGTGGTTAAATGGTCGAATATCTACGACGCGCAATATGCGGAGGCGTGGCCTGAAGTGGTTATGCATGGGCGTTTGGAGAGGGATGGGAGACATACGGCGCCGGCGGAGGGGGAGAAGAAGGTGAAGGGAGAGGTGAGGATGGTGCAGGAGATTAAGGAGGCGAAGAAGGGGATTGTGGATGAGATCATGGCTTCGAGGGCGAAGTCGGCCCAGGAGACGACCAATATTGTGCTGTGAGGGGTGGCGGGGGATTGCCTCAGGGGTGTATATGGATGGATTCGGGATCGGTAAGGAGACGTGAACATAGATCTTTATGTACAAATAGTTACTCGGGAGTTCCCGGCTTGATATTGGCCCAAAGTTCTTGCATATTCCCTAGGTGCATGAGTGAGGTTGCAATGGGTTTAGGACTGGTCTGACTGTTCTCTATATATTCACAAATAATCATAACGCGATGCCAATACAAACTGATACCAAACACCCCTCCGGAGAACGTTGAATGATAAAACCAGGGAATCACAGATAATCATTTGCTAGCTATGTCACCTCTTTTCAACATTCAATCCCGCCACGGCCTGCCTGACCTACTCTGTTGCACTACTATTAGCCCATCCTCCCAGAAGAGCTCCACTTCATTCCCAGCGAATCAGCGAAACCATAGACAGACTCATGTAAGATACTTCAACCTCGCAAACAATCTCTCCGCCAGCAGGAAACCCATATCATACATATTCGGACTCACTCCCGCTATTGAGAAAAGGCTCCCCCTCGCAACCAGAGGCTCCAGGCTAACAGCCTGTGCCAAAGGATGATAATTATAATTCCGACCAGCACTCATAAACTAATCCTGAATCCGTGCTGTACCCAAAACCCATATTCTGAATTGTTCGCAGCGAAAGCATAATAATGGAACACCGCTATAATAGAAAAAAGCCCCTTCTGGCTACTCTCCCGACTCTTTGGATCAAGCATGGCCTTGCAAATAAGTCGTTAACTCCTCCTTCTCGTAGAGTTTACTTAACGTGTGGAACCTTACGGCCGGGTTTGCGCCTCCTGAGCAAACTGCGACTTGTTGGCAGGTTCTGCAAGCCCAGAGACTAGGGCTGGGGCTGAGAGCTGATGGGGTTTGAACTGGTGACATGTGGCAAGGGCCATGCGAGAAGTTTGATTCACAGGAGAATCTGACCGAGTGATAATTTGTGATCTGTTTGTTGCTGATTGTATGGCACTCCACAGTTGATTGTCTGATAAAGCCCAAAGGTGGATTATTGTAAAGTAATTGAATACAAAAAACTCCCCATACTTTTTTCTACCAAATACACACTATCGCACAGCTACTCGCCCTCCTCGCCCTCTGAGGGTTTATCAACCTCAGCCGGTGTAATCGAGATCGGTTCCTCAACTCCCTCTTCCACGGGCTGATCACTTTCACTTTGCTTGATTAGAGCTGGCTTCTCAACCTCCTTTCTATTCACCTCAATAACGTATCCTCCGTTTCTCCCATCCACCTTAAGCCACTTTCCTAACCTCAGTTCTTTCCCAGTACCGACACATACAGCTAGAACCTCCTTCCCTTTCTCGCCACGCTCAACAATAGATATCCCATTCACTACGCCGCGAATAGCGCTCTTGCCAGAGGGGCCGAGAGCTCCGAGGGGCTCGAGTTTGCGCTTGTCGGAGGAGACCTTCCAAGCGCGAATTTTGTTGTCCCAGCTACCGGAGAGGATTAGGTCTGAATAGGGGACTGCGGCTAAGGCGGTGATGTAGTGGGGACATGGCTCTGGTGGTGGATCGGCAGGGTTGGATTCAGCGGTGTGTTCGGCCGGGAGGAGGGTTTGCTGGAGCCCGTGGGCGAGCTGGATTGTGTGGATGGGCTTTTTCTTGAGGATGGACCAGAGGGAGATGTCACTGCGTGACTACAGTTAGTGCGGATAGAAGCTTGGGGAAAGTGTATGCATACCCATTATCACTACCGGTAACAAAGTGCTCCTCGTCTATCATGGCCACGCAGTCGATTGTGCCTTCCTCGTAGCGTTTGCTCCCATCCTTGTTTTTCCGGGACTTTCTTGACTCAGCTCCACCACTTCCTCCACCTCCGCGGAACACAAGTTGAGTTTCCTCCACAATCTTCCACAGTCTTGCCGTACGGTCTCGGGCGCCGACCGTCACACATCGCTCACCGGCTAGCGCAGCGATACCTACAACTTCATCTTGATGACCGAACAAAGTCTCAACATATGCTAGCTCATCCAGACTCCACAGCTTAACACTGCGGTCGGCGGAGCAGGAATACAACTGATTGGTCCCACGCCGGAAGGTAAGACCAGTCACCGCTCCGCGGTGGAATTTGAAAACTTTCAAAGCTTTCAGTTCTGAGTCCCATATGACTATCCTCGTATCTTGTCCTCCTGTTGCAACAAACTTTCCATCCTGCGACGCTGCAACACACAGGATTGACTCTGTATGACCTTGAAAACCGGCTGCATCCTCTTTGCGACAGGCCCGGACGTATGTGAGTCGTTTTGGCTTTTTCGAGACCGTGTGGTTTGTGCCGGTAGAAGGAGGATGCGGATGTACCGGGAGTTCCCACTTTATAAGATAGCCGTCTTTGGTGATAGTGTAGATGAACGGGGAACATGTTGCGACGCCTGTAGTAGGCCCGGAATCCATACGGAAGAGGGTAGAATCTGCGGTAGCGAAGGAGAGCTGTGAGGAGATATATCTGTAGACTTTACCTTTCTCCTCCGCCTTAATAGTTATAGCGTTAGCTTGCAGATACTTTGCAGCTGCTATAAAATATACGTACCACGCTCTCTCTCAGACGCTCGGCAATTATGTCGCGATCGATGTCAGCGGCATCAAATCCTACTTCATCTATCGCTCATTCTCGTCAGCATTTATAGTTCTAATTGAATGTTGTAAATATACCAGCTTCTACTCGAAGGTTATTTAGGTACTGCTGAGCAAGCCTCAACCTCTTCTCTGCTACTGTCTCCCCGGCAAACACCTCATCCTCGTCCTCTTCATCCTCACTTAGTGCCTTCTTACTTCCCCCCCCATCACCACTTTCGGAGCCACTTGGTATATCGTCGTCTTCCAGCGCATTCTTATAAGATTCCCTTGGCCTCTTAGATTTTCCCCGACCGGAGAATGCAGCTGCTTCTGGTCGTTTGCGCTTCTTCGGAGGGCCTGAGGTGGAAAAGAAAGAAGACATCGCTTTGATGACTGGCGTTCAATTGCACCAATAATTCCTGGTGAAGTAGTTTTGCTTAGGCCGACAGCCCAGCAACAATTCTGCGACGGGAGAAATAATAAATTTTTTCTTTTGTGGAAAACGAGAAATGTTCGTTTCTTGGCATGCGAGACATTTAATTATGGCAGGGTAACTGGTGAGGATCACAGAGGCCTTACAAGTTGGTAGCGTATGATACAGCGCTCGTACAGCGAGGGCATTAAAATGCACGATAAGATTAGATGAGATGGAGAGCCGCATGCGACGGGTAATGGATTAGGGTTTGAGGAAAGCAGTCTCATTAAGCCCACTAATCCACACATCTCTAATTTCTCATCCACTAAACAATTATTTTCAATTTCCAGTAATAACAACAGCATCACGATCCACCCAACGACCGACCGACCGACGCGAACTTATTTCCCGTCCCCGAGGTAAGTCAACAAGCCTATTTGAATCCCCCTTACCTTTTCTCTCGAGATGCTCCCATTCGAGAAAAGAAAGAGGGACACTCAAAATGGCTCATGACTGATCTTTTTTTTGGCGGCCTCCGCTCGATTAGACCACATAATTCAATATGGTTAAAACTTCAGTTCTTAATGATTGCTTGAACGCTATCAACAACGCCGAGAAGGCTGGAAAGAGACAGGTCCTTATTAGGCCTTCTTCCAAGGTCATTGTCAAGTTCTTGAGTGTCATGCAGAGGCACGGTAATTACCCTGTTTATATATGCCCTGAGTTTTCCTTCACTGGGGGTTCGAGTTCCTGTTTGCGTTTTTCCTTTCCTTTCCATACTCGGGATGATAACTAGACGAGCTGTCTCGAACTCTCCACGGCCTTTGTCCTTTAAGTTCCCGAAAAATCAAATACCACGCGCAGGAATCTTACACGTTTTCTCTTCCTTTCATTCTTGAATTTCTCCTGTGGATCTCGTAAACGTTTAATCCGGTGCGACATACTGATATATTATAGGATATATTGGCGAGTTCGAGGAAGTTGATGACCACCGTTCCGGAAAGATCGTTATCCAGCTCAATGGACGTATCAACAAGACTGGATGTATCTCTCCTAGATACAATGTCAAGCTCGGTGATCTCGAGAAGTGGGTTGTCAAGCTTCTTCCCTCCCGTCAGTTCGGGTTCATTGTCTTGACCACCTCTGCTGGTATTATGGACCACGAGGAGGCCAGGAGAAAGCATGTCGCCGGGAAAGTCATTGGATTGTGAGTTTATCCTTAGATGGGGTATCGAAGTCTCTAGGGTTATAGTTACTAACTGTTACTCTTCGTAATAGCTTCTACTAGATACCTACTAAAAATGTGGGGGGATCTCAGTGGATTTCTTGAATGTAGCGAATAATAAAAATGGCTCGGATTAGCTAAAAAGTTACTGCCCTTTTCTTCTCTTATCCTAGGGTTTGGGGAGGGATCTAATTTCAAATCAATGGAGTTTTGCCTTTCGGGATGGTTTGTGGGCGTTTTGGCTGTTGATAGTTTTCAATTAGGATCTAAACCCCTGATGGTGGCTACTTCTGTGCCGTACCCCTATCCCGGAAGCAATTATTGTCCGATGAGCCCGGATTGTGATATCATGAGATGAGTAGTAGGGACTTTGCGAAAAGACTCTGGATGTGGGTCAAACGGGGTTCTGGGCCAATGAGATCGCTAGAATTTGACTTTAGATGCGAAATCGCAAAGTCTCTAGTAACAGATAAAACGCAGCTTTTTGTGCCTCGGTAAGAGAGAGATAAAGGACCGGTGTTGTTGGCTAACGTTAACCCTGACTGCCCTTAAACTCTTACCAATGTCTAGCGGGGCGTTTTATTCTCAAATGGGAGGTATAGTATGATACCGGAAAACCAAAAATAACTCCTCAGGTAATTTTGTAAAAAAACCCTCTTAAAAGCATTTGATGATTGCTATTTTATTTTATTTTATCAATACATTCAAGATTGGTGACTGGAATCATATTGCAGGGGGCTATTTGAGAAGGATGTGCAACATCTTCAACTCTGTGTAAAGCTGCCACAATGACTTCCTGGATGACCATAGGTGAAATAAAAACTATATATCAATTCTAATCTATTATTTAAACAACTTTACCAGAGGAATTTCTGGTATCTCCTCAAAGAGAGGCTTTTCCTAATTTAGAGGCTTTGGATCGAGTTGGCCGGAAGGGCAGGTTTTGGTCCGGAACCATTCATGCCCAGTAAAATTTCAACCTTCTTTTAGTTTAACGGGTTCTTAAAGCCAAGGTTAGTGGCTCAAAAGGCGCAGCATCTCCTCTCACATTCAACTACTGGCCAGCCATTCATTTCTCCTCGCTAATTACTCTCGTGCCTTATTTTTATGACATTTAAGAAGCCTCTTTTCCACATCTCCTCTCCACTCGAGTTAATGTAACGGTATCATAAAACATCCTCTCTGTCTCGATTTCCCCTCGTGATATCCCTGATTAGGGCTAGGGCTCTTTATTGGATTTGACTTAACGCCCAAAATCTTGGCATTTGAAAGTAACTTTCCTCTTTTATTTTTTCGTCCCGCTCGCAACAATCTTGCACTATCGAGCTCCCTCTCACCCGACCCCGCAAATACCGGAGTAAAGCTGGTTTTTGTTTCCTTCTCTCTTCCTGTTTCTCTCTTGCTCTAATATTTGTAGGCTGAGCTAATGGCTGGCTCTCTGGCCTCCGACTCCTCCAGAACACTCTCTGCAGCAAACAACCCCCCACATTCCGCCATGAATGGCTCTTCCTCCTCGTTGTTAATTAAAGCTTTGTCGAATAGCCAGCATGAATTCCTGCAACCAAAATCCTCACTACACAGCGCTGCCCTAGTGCTTGCAAAAAAATACCTTGACCCACTGGCGGCGAGTGCGGCGGGCGGGAAAAAAAGTGAGGTTTTGGAGAAAATTTATCTGGATGGATTCGATGTTGATCAGGTCTGGGAGCAGGCGAGGCTTGTTGTGGACGCCGTTGAGGGCGGGGTTGGTCAGGGGAAGGTTGCCCGGGTTGTTAATGGCGGTGTTAACGGTGATGCGAAAGGTGTAGGGTTGGCAAATGGGAAGAAGAGGAAGGCTGTTGCATTTGAGGAGGATATCGACAATTCTAGTGGAACTGGTAGTCAGAGCGATAGCGGAGGGGATGAGGAAGGAGGTTACGATGAGGACCTCGGGGAGGAGGAATACGAAGAGTCTATCGATGAGGATGGTGGAATTGCCCTCCCTGGTGATGACGATGGTGATGAAGATGATGCCAGAGAGGGCATTGAGGAAGTCTTGGAGGAGGAGGGGGAGGAGGGGGAGGAACAGGAGTTTGTTCAAGACGTTCATGGACTCAATGACGGTTTCTTTTCGATCGACGACTTCAACCGTCAAACTCATCTGCTCGAAATGCAAGATGAGCGCGGGGACCTTGGATCTGGTGAGGAGGAGATTGACTATGATGCCGACCCAGACCAATTGGCCGACAGTGACGAAGATAAAGCCGGAGGCGGGGCTACCGCTGTTGGGAAAGACGACTACGATGAAGGAGAAGACGAGGACATGCATGACGGCTACGATAACGCGAATGGGATAATGTACCAAGATTTCTTTGCACCGCCTGCCAAGAAGGGATCAAAAAAGAGGCCTTCAAAAGCATCGATACCTTGGAACCAACGGTCTAAAAGGTTAGAAAAATCGGAGAGAGAGAATTCTAATATTGAGCGTGGGATGGCTCGGGTACGCCGCGATTTGTTCGATGACGGCATGTCAGAAGAAGGCTCAGATGTTAGTATGGATGGTGACTTGGCGGATCCCATGAGCCGTCGATCGACACACGAGAAACGCCAAGCTACTATTATCGAGCAAATCCGCCAACTCGAAGCTGCGAACGTTGCGAAAAAGGAGTGGACTCTTGCTGGAGAAGCTAGATCTACAACTAGACCTCTTAACTCGCTGCTAGAGGAGGATCTGGACTTTGAGCGAGCTGGAAAGCCTGTCCCCGTAATCACCCAGGAGGTCACCGAAGATTTGGAGGAGATGATCAAGCGAAGAATTCTCGCTTCTGATTTTGATGAAGTAATCCGAAGACGGCCTGGTGATATCTCATCTCGCTTCCAGAGAGGTAGAATTGAGTTGGACGATTCCAAGCCCCAGCAAGGCCTAGCAGAGATTTACGAGAAAGAGCACCTCCAAAAGGTCGATCCTGAAAACAACCCAGATGTTAAGGACGAGAAATTGGCAGAAGCTCACCGAGAAATTGGGGCACTTTTCTCCGATATTTCTCGAAAACTCGATGCCCTTAGCAGCTGGCACTTCACTCCTAAACCTCCTAAGCCTGCTATTTCTATTGTTGCCGATGCTCCTGCCATCTCCATGGAGGAGGCCCAACCGAGTGCTGCTGGTGGCGGCACCCTAGCTGCTAATACTTCTATGCTCGCGCCACAGGAAGTCTACGCTCCTCAGAAGGACAGGGCAGTGGCAACCATCGGCGCAGGCGGCGGTAGGGAGATCGTCAGCAAGAGCGGGGCTCCAGTTTCAACAAGAGAGATGACCAGGGATGAGAAGCAGAGACGGAGAAGGAGGGAGAAGGAGAAAATAAAAAAACGGAACCTAGGAGAGGGGAATAAAGGTGGGGAAGTCAAGGTGGGGAGTAGAAAGGACGTTGTGGACAACCTCAAGAAGGGACGCGTTAAGGTTATTGGAAATGGGGGCGAGAAACGCGATGTGGATGGCAATTTAGTTAACGATAAGAAGGGAGAGACAAAAAGCAGCTTCTTAAAATTGTAATTATGAAAAGTAGTTATTCAGATGGTGCTTGTTGGCTGCTTTGGATTTCAATAACGATACCGGTACCTTCATGGGATTTCACTCGGACTGTGGCGCTATGCTCTATTCCCTCTTGAATTTATGGGTTGTTAAGGTGCAGCAGTGTATTGGGGTGTAAACACCCACCTCCTAGTGGGCTTAAAACTTGGCTCTTAAGACCCAGCAATTGATTTTGAGAGCCCCTAGAACAAGAGTCCCGATGGAAGCCGGCTGAGACTTGTAGACTGTATACCGTACCTGACTCCGGGACCGGACCGGTCTGATGAGGCTTGGCCTGTTTAAATCCTTGGCGTTCCAAAAACTACGCTCAACCCACTCGGTCTCAGCATCAATATCCCCACCCCACGTGATTGGGGCTACGCTATGAACCCGATAGCGAACACCGCTACTCAACACAAACTCCTTGCCCACCCCACCGAAAGCCATCGTCCATCACCTCCATTAATTCGTTCATCCAATATCTAAAACATGTACCTATCCCCTAGCACTCCCGCATCAGTTGTATATAACTAATATTTGTTGCAGGGAAGTTCTTCTAGGAATCACCGGGAGTGACTTCGTCCTACTTGCTGCCTCCAATGCTGCTATGCGTGGGGTGACCATTCTCAAAGCGGAGGATGATAAAACTAGGGCCTTAAATCCACACACTTTGATGGCGTTCTCCGGGGAGGCGGGAGATACTGGTATGTTTCATCGATGGAAAGCGGGACGTAGGAGTTGGATTAGTTGGTGGAATGAGCTAATGGATGCTGGTATATGTGTGCGCGCGAATAGTCCAGTTTGCGGAATATATTCAAGCTAATGTGCAGTTGTATGGGATGAGGAATAACTCTAAATGGCAGCTATCTCCCAGCGCTGTTGCTAGTTTTGTGAGGCGCCAACTTGCGAAGACCTTAAGGAGCCGGGTATAAATTCTTTCCTTACGGTTTGGTGTTTTGGGTTCCTGACTTGGATGGGTAGAGCCCCTACTACGTCAACCTTCTTATCGGGGGATTCGACTGCACTACTGGAAAGCCCCATCTTTACTGGCTAGACTACCTAGCGTCATCGGCGGCTGTACCTTATGCTGCTCATGGATATGCTCAGTACTATTGTTTGTCGATTCTGGATAAGCATCATCATCCTGATATCACCTTGGAGGAGGGGAAGAAGTTGATGAAGATGTGTCATGATGAGGTCCGTATCCCTCATTACTATTTAGTTTGGCGGCTGGATTTTGTTAATATGTGGATATAGCTGGTCAAGAGGTTGCCGATAGACTTCAAGGGATTGACGGTAAAGGCAGTCACGAAGAATGGTGTGGAAGTTGTCCAGATTTAAGGTTCTGTGCATAGGCGGTTCGCGTTATTGTTTAATGTAGAAACTTTAATCGCGGATTAAATAACCTCACTGATATCCAATGCGCCTTGATCTCTTCGGCTCTGGTTAAATATACAAGTCCAGGTCCAATCCTGATCCAACGAGCTAGGGGACGTCTTGTTGCCAGTGATAGGGCTTGCAGTTGCAGAGCGTTTGGGGTGGATGTAAGGTGCCTATAGGAAGCTTAGGCCGTAGCATGATATCTCAATAATTCTGCAGCTCTTGTTTGTGTTCGCACTGGGCTGCTTCCACGATGGTTCCAACTGTAGCACTTAGTTTAGGTACTCCGAGATATTTCTAAGCGCTCGGGTACGGTAATTAGTTCTGCGACATAATTTCCCTCCAACCCATGCTATTCCGATACATCCTCTAGTATTAAAGGTGGGGGTTGCTTCTCGGATTTTAACATGGATGGCGTTGAGCCCGACTGGAAAATGCTTGCCGGCAGAATTGGCTGTTCACATCGCCAAGCCAACCACCTTTCCATCCCGCATCCCTTCCCGGAACATCTAGGTCTACTTACTGTGCAGGAGGAAACACAAAAGGGATCACTAGCCCCCGCTCGCAGCAGCATCCCTCCTCATTCATTCCCTCCCCTCTTATTCCCTCCCTCGCTTCACCAACTATGCTCGCTCTGAAACGTCTGTCAACTTCCCGCACGACCTCCGTGACTCGCGGGTATTCCACCTCCTCCGGATACACTTCCACTGCGAAGAATTTGCTCATTAATGCTGAAACTAAGGTTATCTTTCAAGGTTTGTACACCCATAACCTCTCTAGGGGAGGGAGAAAGGTTTGGGGGGGAGGGGGAAACTATGCTGATGTATTATGTACAGGGTTTACCGGAAAACAAGGAACGTATGTTTAATCCTCGGATGGTCGTGTTGGTGATGGTAGAAGTCGGATGGGTGTAAGAGGGGCGGTTGACGGAGGTGGGAGGGTGTTTTTAGGTTTCATGCGCAGCAAGCGATTGAGTACGGTACGAAGGTTGTCGGTGGAATTAGTCCCAATAAGGCTGGAAGTAGGCATTTGGACCGTCCAGTTTTTCGTACTGTGAGGGATGCTATCAGCGAGGTTGGAGGTATGTTTTTTTTCCTTTCAGGATTCCTGCCAGTGTTATGTGGACGGGGAATTTATTCTAGTGTAGCCGATGCAAGTGCTATATTCGTTCCGCCTCCGGTCGCAGCAAAGTCTATAGAGGAGGCGATCGAGGCAGAGGTCAAGCTTGTTGTTTGGTGAGTGTTTGAGTGGGTCCCCTGGGTTTTGTGCTTGGGATGGCATTGATGGAGGTTAGTATCACCGAAGGGATTCCTCAGAATGACATGGTCCGGGTTGTGGATATGTTGAAGGCGCAGAATAAGACTAGGTTCGTTATATGGCTTGCGGCGGGGAGGAAGCAAGACTGATAGTGGGATAGATTGGTGGGACCGAACTGCCCTGGAATCATTGTATGTCTACCTAGCACCGATATTTGGGGAGGGAGAACCTTTTCTGATAGCGGTGTAGTCCCCAGGCCAGTGCAAAATTGGAATTATGCCAGGTTTCATCCACAAGAGAGGCAGAATCGGTATTGTCTCGAGATCTGGGACTCTTACTTACGAGGCTGTAAACCAAACCACCCAGGTTGGACTTGGCCAGAGCTTGGTTATTGGGTGCACATCTCCCCTTTGAGCCAGCACAACGAAGGCTGATTACGGGATTTAGTATCGGAGGTGATCCCTTCTCCGGGACCTCTTTCACTGACGCCTTGAGTGTTTTCCTGGAAGATGATGGAACCGATGGTATTACTTTATAGATAGTTTGTGTTAGGGTGACGCTAACAAGTTATAGGAATCATTATGATCGGTGAAATCGGGGGCTCTGCAGAAGAAGATGCTGCTGATTACCTGAAAGCCAACAACACCAAGAATAAGCCAATCGTATCATTCATCGCCGGTATCTCTGCGCCCCCAGGAAGGCGGATGGGTCACGCCGGTATGTTTTCTCCCTCTCTCCCTCTCTCCCCCCTACCCCATAACCCGACTCATTGTTCCTTCTAGGTGCCATCGTCAGTGGCGGCAAGGGAGGAGCCGAGTCCAAGATTTCGGCGCTCGAGGGTGCTGGTGCCATTGTCGAGCGTAGCCCCGCTGCCCTGGGAAAGAGTCTATACGAACAATTTGTGAAGCGAGACTTGTTGTGAATTGAGATAGGGCGGTAATCCTTATGTTATAGAGATGTTTGGAATTTGGAAGGGCGGGGAAACTGCCTATTTGTAACCTAATGGTAGCAAAATATGCCCGTTATCCTAGGGCGATCTGAATGCTGGTCATGGGATATCACTCGGGGACTTTTTGGATTTTGTGTTCAACTTATCCACTCTGCAGGCTAGCCTCTTTTCGCAACCAGTTCCCTTCACCACTTGCCCCTTTCCCACCACTCCTTTCGTCGTTGAACCTGATAGCGCCAGTGAGCGTAGGAGAGAGAGAGGAAGGGAACTTGATGTATTTCCTAGCTACGGCCGTTGCTACATGCGCGGAAATACTGGACAGCCAAACCTTGCTCGCTCGAGGCTCACCCAGACCCTAACGACCATGAGGATAGCCCAAGTATGATACCACATCCCAACAAAACCACTCCTGACCCCTTCTCCCTCCAGCCTCACGACCACGCTTTGTTCAACTATGGTATACTACTTTCTCATCAGTTGTCATTTCTTGTTCTTTGATCCCTTTTCTTCCGACGTTTTTGGTGAGTCACCAAGCTTGGCTTTCTTCTTCCCCCCCGCTCTCTTATGCATCCCTTGACAGAGGACATAAGCCCAACCCCAAGCGTGTAGCAAAAAATTAAACTCCTCTTCTCTTTCTCTAGCTACACACAACTATATCTCTAGTTAGCAGTTTGCAGCTTTGGTTTTAGGGGATCGAGGTTTTGCGATGCTAGGTGAGTTGCTCGTCGTAGATTAATGGGAAGAGAGACATTCTGTGACGCTGGCACCTATTACCTGGAGCTGTCTGCATGAGATCGGCAAAGCTCTAGCGGGGGGTGCTGTGTAGCTGCCAAGACCGATAGCTTAGAACTTAGGGCAGACATGCAAAGGCCCGCAGCATCCAGACCCTGCCTTGGGCCACATATGATACAACTAGATATGGTATCATACATATGCATAGCAAAAGCAATTCGACTTAGACCGCAGAGTGCCGACCAGATCGAATACTATGTTTCCGGGATCGAGTTCACCAAAAATGCCATTTCCAGTGTTCCAGATAGAGCGAAAATTCCCAACTCCCAAGTCTCTCACAGCCAGAGAGCCTTTTTCCTCCGCCTTCCCAATCCCCAGCCCCCCTGAGCGCAGCAGCGACTCTGCACTTCTGACTCAAACTCCACATCGTGAAATCATCGTACCTTCTCAAAGCCAAGCACAACCCGATTCAAACCCTCCCCGCCATAGACACCTCCCGCGATGTTGGGAATGCCGCCCACCTCACACACCCCCTGCCCCGCCGCTATGAAAGGCCACGGGAACGTGGTGGGTACACTCCTTAGCCGGAAAGACGTAGATGTCAGTGAGCGGTCCCACCCCGACAATCCCGTGTGACGTCGACGCATCGTTGCACCAAACTTTCCGCGGTGGAATGCGTCTTCCGATCCAGCGCGTTAACGGACGTGTGATGTATGATACTTATCTCGAGCTTTCATTGAAGGATCAAGATTGAGCGGAACCGGTCCAGAAGTTATGTACCGACTCTATTCCCCCCCCCCCCAAAAAAAAGCGAAAGGAAGTTTTTATTTACTATCGACACTTCTAGAGAGTGTTATCGGGGCGCGGAGGTTTATAACTAGAGTGAATTAAGCTATGGAGCTAGGTACTCTCGGAGCCTATAAAAATGGTGGATAACTGGCGAGCGATGGCGAGGTTCGCGTCCTCATGAGTTGTGGTGTCTCGGATGTGATACTATCTATGATATCCTGGGCAATTGGTTAGTTCTGTGTAGAAAATTTTTGTAATCTGGATAAAAAGGGATGGACAACTGCTGGAGATATTAGCCTGGGGGAGGAAAGGAAAGAATGAGAGAAATGAGAGACTATCATAATTGCGGTTATTATGTATGTATATGGTGCGTGGGCTCTATAAGTGTGTGGGTAACTGTAGGGAGAGAGATAATTACTAGCTGTAGAGTCATGGGCGTTATAACAAGAAAAATGCTTTTTTTTTTTGGAGAGGAGTACGCATTTCGTATCATACCTGACCCATATATGGAGAGATCAATGTTGGGGTCAGGGAGGGTAGTTATACCCAACTGACAAGTTTTTCTGATATGATAAAGCAGTGAAATGATACCGCAGCTTAGTTTCAAGTATTCTACGAGCTGTATTATAGATAACCACAAAGTATACCACACCAGTTCCTAAGTTGAGTAGTTCTATACATAACGAAAATTTTTGTAAGACTTCACAGTAGTAGGATGTGGGGGTTTAACACGACCTCTGATACCCCCCTCCTGCCAAATTTCCGATCAGCAATTCTCAATCCGTATCAATGTAAGAACCGTACTATAGAGTAAAAAAAAACCCCCCCAACTAACCGCAATTCGCAAGCGTGAGTACGATACCAGTATAAAGTTAAGTTAAAAGCAGTGCAAGAGATTAAACCTCTTCATAGCAATCTCCCTTAATAGTGATAAAACATGAGGTCTGTGATATACAGCAAGAGAGTGCGGTCGACAGACTCACAAATCAAGTAAATTGACATCCAGGTATGATAATATATTGATTGACATCGTTAGTACTAGCCAGATCTTAATAATGGCCGCTACCATTAATGTCAAATGGGTAATTGGAAGGCCCATTTTTTTTTTTACCGAAAACCTCTACCATCCCTTCGTATTTTATATTTTTATATTTTTCCCTGTGCGAATGCAGCTTCCGCAAACATGATCATCTCACCCTGAAAGTGTTAGATAGTAGAGGTACTCTTGGCATGGACACATGGACACTGATATCACAATCCCTTCTCATGACGATCGGTGAACGGGGCCTGGTATGTTCACCACACATTACTGTACGTTACGTATCGTATCGAGTGGTACCATGAGAGCGCTCGAGTATGATACCTTAGCTTGGACTTACCATTCGAATCCTAGTTTAGCCGAGTGACGGGTTGTGAGTAAGGGTGTCTGAGGATGCTTGTGTAGGGGTTTTTCCGCACGGGGCATCATATCATATGATACTCAGGCTCTTGCATACACCCAGGTATGATATAATACGGGAATTGCGCCCCACCCTACCCGGATTTCTGGCACGGGCAAGTGAGGTCATTTTTATAGATGACGATGGACCGGTACGAATCTGATACTAGCGCAGATGTACTACTATTGTTACGAGTTGATATGTGGAGCTAATATCGCCGATACACCCCACCGCCGGAATTACAGCACCTAGGTAGGATATGAGTAATCGGATCATAAATTCTAGTATAAACTAGCCATCGCATAAGTTGCTTCTGCCTGTACTCGTACTTAGGAAAGACCCATTTCTACAAGCCAAAAGAAAACGCGAGCAAAGGTGAAAGAAGAGAGAAAAAAAAAAGAAAGAACGCAAGCGAGCATAGACAAAACGACCTCCCAAGCTACGTTTAAAAGTCCTCAATTTTCAATATGTTACTCATATCCTGCAGCTGCATTTCTGCCCCCTTCCACGCCCGGTCAATAACCTCCACTCTTTTAGCATCCCTTGGCGTGATAGAAGCCTTATACCTAACCGGCCGGCTCATGAAACCTTGGGTCATATTCCACTCATCAACAGGGATCACGGTACCGTCGGAATTCTTCGCATACTCGACATTGAATCCCCAAAGAATCCTAGCGTAGTTAACAAACAGACTGTTGGAGGAAATGTGCCTTCCTGGGCAGGCCCGTCGCCCGAATCCGAAGCCGTAGTGTACATTCTCTCTGTCGTCCCATCTCTCGGGCATGAACTTGGTCGGGTTGGGGTAGGCTTCAGGGTCTTGATGGATACTCCAGAGGTTGCCGACTACGATGGCGCCCTTCGGGATGCGGTAGCCCATGTACTCGTCGTCTTCCTCTACCACGTGAGGGACACCTCCAGCGGAGGGCGAACGCCAGCGGAGGACTTCATCAACGCAGTTACAGACATAAGGGAGGTTGTCTTTGTCGTCGAAGGTTGGGAGACGATCGGGGCCAACGACGCGGTCAAGTTCTTCTTGCGCGCGCTTGAGGGCTTCAGGGTGCTTGAGGAGGGCGAGGATGAAGATTTCCAGAGCGATGGTGGTGGAGTCACTACCGGCCTCGTATAGGAAACCGACCATGAAAGCAAGTTCTAGAGGAGAGACGTTCTGCGCTTCCTTCGTTCTTGCGATTTCCTTGGTCCAGTTCCAGCCCTTGCGTTGGAGGGCTTCATCCCGGTTAAAAGTATGCATCTTTTCGGCCCAGTTATAGAAGTTATCGCCGATGCGCTTCCAGGGTGCCACAAAGGTTGGGAGATAGTTCAAGAGTGGAAATGAATCGACAATCCAGGTCCCTAGACGGGCAGAGTAGAGGAAGTTACTAGTGATTTCGTCGATGGCTACAACATCCTCCTCATCACCGCGGGGCATACGTTTTCCATAGGCTAGAGCGAAAATGACGGATGAGTTATACCTGACGAATGTGTTAGGTATGGGTTCATCAAACGAAGAATGACATGACTGACCTATGGAAACTATCAAAGAAGCCCTCCGGGCGGTCAACAAGTTCTTTGATCAATTGTATGCTCTCGAGATCCTGGAACCCCTTGTATTTGTTTACGATGTTCTGGTTGATGACCTGTCCCTGAAGACGACGGTGCATTCTCCATTTGTCGCCTCTTTGCAGAAGCACGACTCTCATTTCTACATTTCATTAAAATTATTTCCACATAAGATGGATGGATTAATGATTGCTTGCCTCTAGAAACATTTTCACCGGCCATAACAGACCTCGGTCTATCACATATTGCAATTAGCTTAAACCCCAACAATTCAAATAAGCCTGTAAACAAAGCAAGTGAATTTCTACAAGGCAAAACGGACAAGCTTTTCAAGCAAATAAACGTTTTAAAGATCTGCATACCTGGAAGAGTAAATCTTCGACCTCTTCTCTAGCAAATCTCTTGCTGCCTTCTGTGTCCCCAATACAATGACTGTATCTTTTCCAAGCTTGAGCCTGTAGATGGGTCCATATTGCTTAGTCCATTCGGCCTGTTTTCGCCACGGGTTTATTAGAGGAATCTGAAAGCTATTTCCGACTATCGGAAGACGCGGTGGCCCAGGCGGAAGCGGTAGGGGGTCCTTTCCCCTGAAGAGTTGCTGCGCAAGAATCCCCGCCGACAGTACTAGTAGGATCAATGCGGCGGTCGAACCCCCCGGGAGCGAAAAAATGGTTTGAGTGAGAGACATACTCGCTAGAACCCTTTCCCAAAGGAATGAGAGCACTATCCTAATTGAAGAGGCAGAGCAGGGAAAGAGTGGGAATCCCCGCAATCACGAAGGTATTATATTCTTCTTCTCAACACCGCTGGACCGTCACGGACAATCGCAAGGCCCAGATTAACACCCAACTATATACCACCCTACTCGGAGTCCCCACTCGCTGAGAGCCTCCCACATGGCGGAAACGCTGGAGAACACAAGTCTATAAGGGTTCACAAGCATCCCCCGTTGCAGCCGTGAGCTGGAAGAGAAGAGAGAGAGAGAGAGAATTCCACAAGGCTTTCCGCTGCCTTGTCAAGAATCCATAAGGATCGTGTGCAAGGACTGGAGTACAGTATGCGCGCACCCCCTGCAAGGTGCAGACCAACGTGCCGCACCGCTGTACTAGTAACGGCCGAAACCGTCTCTCGATACAGTAGAAAACCGGCGCCCAGTCCTCGTCTCCTACTATCCGGTGATTGTTTCGGGGATTAGTCGGTCCGGTACAACGGCTACACTCCCTTTACGGCGGCGGCCCCCACTGCCGTTCCCTCGGAACTGGACCCGGTTGATCGATGGTCCCACATGAACCAATTGTCGTACCGTATCATAATTGGAATGTCTCCAACGACCTTTGGCAAAGTGTGACACGGCGGCGACGGGAATAGGTCGGAGGATTAGTCCGCAACCGCCTGATCTCCCAAAACGTGTTTACTCGTAAGTTACCGACATCCCACCTGACAACTACGTTTTCGTTAGTAGGCACAGGCATTGAGTGGACAGGATAAAGAAAACGGGGTTTCTATGTTGTGCAGTGCACCGCTCTTGAATATGACTTCGATGCATCCAGAAGGGTAGAGGAGTCTGATCACCAGCTTCGGAAAACACGAGCTGGTGGGGAAGCCGGTGTGATGCGCAGCAGGTAGTAATGGCCCCGATTGGTGAGTAAGTTGAGAATCCATCTCACTCCCTATTCGAGTGATGCCCTCAATAACGTTACCCGAGCACCAGTCCCCCGAATGGCAATGCGCATCGTCATCGCGAAATCTGATGATGCCCAACGCCTATCACCCGAGGTTACCCATACAAGTACAGTAGATGCTTACCAAGATCGTCACTCGCTTCCTATGTATTAAAATCGCTATCATAGAATAGAGTTATCAATCGCTCCACCTAACCAAATCCTTTCGGATTATCCCTACAAGTACTCAATCAGTGGCTGCGATCCCCCATCCTACAAGCAAAAGTCTACTCGCGGGGCCGAGTGACTCCTGCCGATAACCCCACCGACTCTCTACCAACATCAAAGCAAAAGTGCAAAAACACCACATATATACCGGTATTTTGAGTACGGTAAAAGTAGCCTAAAGAGGATAGTCTACCAACCACGATAACAAAAATCAGCCCTCCATGCATAATGGTTAGTTGTTAAAAAGGCTCTCATACCAGGGGTCAGTCCCGTACTCTGCTTTCAAAATTGTTGCCTCCACCCGCCAGGAGTTATACGGTCGAGGTCTAGTTAACCCTGGTGCGATCATAGTCGTACGCTAAGTACCGCACTGGCACTGTGTTCTCGCAATTCGCATCATCACTTCCGAGAGACGAGATTAATAGTCTTTTCTAGTAGGCGCCCGGTTTCTAATGCATTCCAAAGGCCAGAAAAGAAAAAGAAAAGCAGAAGCCGATATAATTTAGAAGCACCTAGCAGCAATCAAATGCATAAATAAAGAAATAGCGACCCATTAAGCTCCATCACTTCTCATCATAGGTCACACTGAAAAGGAAAAGTAAGGGATCCTAGAAAGGAAAAACTTTTTGTATATTCTCCCCACGTCACTCACCCATAGGAGCCCTAAAGCCATATCAGAGTATCGCATTCAGCAATCTCGCAGCCATACTCGTTTCGCACGTTAATCCGATAAAACAAAGGCAGTTGAACAATTAGACACCAAGAGAAAATGCGCCAACCCATCCGTGTTCCCACCATTGCGTTTAATCTATACAATACCGGTAGCTATTCCTCGACCGGATCGAGGGATGGTCCCGCCCGGACGATAGTAGCCCACCCGATCAACCGCCAATGCTTGTCGATCCTCCTACTCAGCGCAATCTTCTCGCCATCCTGAGTGCAAGCCGGGCTGGTCAACTGAAGTTTGGCCACATCAGCCTTCACAGCAATAACCTTTGCACCGGTAGCAGTAGATCCAATGTTGACCATAAGAATTTCGTTCTTCGTAAGTTTGGCGACCTTAGCCTGCTTTCCGTCTGCAGTCTTGACACCGAGAAGACGACGGAGCAAGAAGTAGTTGACCTCAAGGTCGGTATATATACTTGGCAAACGCCCCTTAAGACCAAGAACGAACCCAACGAGACGATCCGCACGACAGAGGGTCGGGTCGACACGGGTACCAACACCTATTTCATTCATGAGAAAACCTACAAACAGAGAGGGAATTTCTAAATATAGGTAGGCATACCAATAAGACCACCAGGAACAGCAAATTTCAAATCATTGTTCTCGGCAAACAATGAAACAATTCTGCTGAAGATAGGTTTGCACTGGATTTGTCCCCTATCGGTTTTGGTGACAATTCCCGGTCTGATCTCAATCTCGTCTCCGAGTTTAAGTACACCAGTCAAGATCGAGCCGCCGGCAACACCGCCCTTCAAATCATCAATTTCGGCGCCAGGTTTGTTGACATCGAAAGATCTAATAACGATCATATGAGGCGTTGCAGTGAAATCTCGGATCGGAACAGGAATCTTGGAAACAAGGGCCTCGTTGATAGCATCGATGTTATACTTCAGCTGGGCCGAAATGGGAATAATTGGAGAACCGTCGGCAACGGTGCCACGAATGAACTTCAGAATCGATTGGTAATGCTCTTCAGCAGACGCTTCACGCATGAGGTCAACCTTGTTCTGAAGAATAATAATGTGGTTCAACTTCATGATCTCTATTGCAGCCAAATGTTCGGAAGTCTGCGGCTGCGGGCATGACTCGTTTCCGGCAATCAACAAGAGAGCGGCATCCATGACTGCTGCACCAGACAACATAGTACTCATGAGAATGTCGTGTCCAGGACAATCAACGAAACTAGTGCCATCAGCACAAAACTCAAATATCAATAGCTCCATTGAGGGGCACACTCACGAAACATGTCGTAGTAATTGGTACTTGCCGCCACAGCCTTCGCGTTCGCACTGAGGATCGACTTCCTTATCACTCTTGTAACTTCGGTAATTGCCAGGACGAGGACAGTCAGGATTGTCGCATTTGTAAACCTTTGCATTGGCATAACCAAGCTTGATGGTGATGTTCCTCTCAAGTTCATTCTTGAATCTGACTGTCTGAACCCCAGATATGGCTTTTACAACCGTACTCTTCCCGTGAGCCACATGACCGATGGTGCCAATGTTTATCGTAGCCTGACGAGAGATAATTTCCGGCGAGAGAGGAGAAAGTGCAGAGAGGTCCAGAGTCGATGGGTCAGGTTGCGCCGGTAGAGGCGGTTTGGGGGCAACAACCTCTTGGATCTGTGTGGGTTTTTTTAGGGAAGATTTGAGCTCTTTTGGAGCATCGTCAAAATCGGATTCGTCCGACTGCGGATCTAAACCAGGAGATCCAAGACTCCCTCCATCATCCTGAGTGATAAAGTTTCCGAGTTTGTCAACATGCTCGTCATGTTCAGATGCGAAGTTTTCTTCTTCTCCGCCGTTAGTTGTCATGATTGCGGGGAATGGGAGGTGGGGTGGAAGGTGGGGCCGGATGGGGGATGTCAAGATGGTGGGTTAAATTAAGAGATTTTCCTGGCTGTGAAACTCGGTAAATAAACTGCGAGCGTTCGACAAGGAATCGTGTAGTTTTGTGAGAGGTTTAGTACAAGTACTTAAAGAAAGGTCGTGGGTGAGTCAGGGCAAAGAAAAAAATCAAGACCTGAACAATCAGAGCCTGACTAAGCCACATCACCAGGGAAGATCCTGCCCCAGCCCTAACCCTTTGAATTTTGAATCCTCGGCATAGGATTACTACGGCACTAAAACTCTATGATAACGTTCCGAAATAAGCCTTGGAAAGTTTGAGCTCGCATCACCCAATCCGCGTTACCCTAGCTGAGGTACGCCAAACCCAAATTCCGCGACAAAGGCCCGACTAAGGAGCGCTCAAAATGAGATATCATATGGTATCATAGTAACAAAAAAAGGCCAAGTGGATGCAAAGTAGCACTTTCTCCCCTCCTTCCTAGTCTTTATCTATAAACCCCCAGCAGATGCGCACTAATTAATGAAACATAAATGGCGAGTGACAATCCATGAGTTGCTATAGGACCGACAGTCCAAGGTCACGGGTAGAATTATCTATCCTAACCAATACCCCTTTTTTTTTGCGCTAAAAAGCCAGTTTGCAAGATCCAGCGCTTTATCCGCGGTATAGTTAACATAGTTAAGCTGGAGCCTGGCACCAATGGGACACCATAAACAAATTTACAATAGCGGCTTCATAGAAGTCCGATTATGGCGGGGCAAAAAAAAAAAAAGGGTGGGGCGTTGTATGACACTTAAAGTTCGTCCAAACGCATTAGATTGGTCAATTTAGCAACTCTGATAGTGCGAATGCAGAAGTCTCCGTACCTGTTGTGCACTAAGACCCGGTGTCACTCGTGTAAACATATCATACCTGAGGGCATGCCCAAAAGGTACGCTACAGAGGAAAAATTGTGAAAAGTAAAGCTTCAACCGCTGTCTTTTTTTTAGCGGATGTCTTTTGTTGTGCCGGATGCCCCCCGGTATCATACATTAATTTGAACCGGGTCGGAGCAAGAGGAACATTTGAATTTCCAGAAACAAAGGTTCCGGTAAAAAAGGCAAGGATACGTTCAACCAAAGACGCCTTTCACAAGATTCGAATCTGCTAGAACTTTTGTTTGATATCCATAAGAAAACTAAATTTACTCGTCGTCGTCCTCATCCTGATCCTCCTCATCCTCCGCAACAGTAGTCTGAGCAATACCTGCCCACCACACTTAGTCAGTTACCGCACCCGAAGCGCACCCCTCGTCCAGCACCGCTCATATTCCCAGCGGCTAGAGGGGGGACGGGTAATTTTTCTGGTTTTAAGGATAAAACTTACGATCCAAATCTCTTTGTCCAGTCTGAGAGATCCTTCGTCCACCCTTGGGGCTAATTTCGACAACGCCAATCTTCTCAAGAGCCTGGAGGACCTTGCGGTCAACGGAGCCGGAGGCGTCAACATGGTGGGAGGGACAGGATCCACGGTTCTTCTGTCCACCGTGAGCCTTACGGAGACGGCCAACACCGACGGATTTACGGAGGTAGACATGGCGAGCGACGGCAGCTGCGCGGATGTAGAACCAATCCATAGATTGAGGGGGAAGCTCCTTCATGTGTCCGGTCTTTACGGTATCAACCCAGCCTACAACTTTCTATCAGTAGCTAATCAAATAAATTGCGATTTTATTTTATTCAAAAAAAAAAAGACTTACCGGGAATTTGGAGCTTGCCTTGACGTTTCAAAAAGGCAGCATAGGCGCTAATAAACTTTTGAGCATCAACATCGCGAACGGTGACACCAGGCATGATGGGCAACTGCTTGTTGAAAAATGGGCGTCGGCGGTGTGTTGATAATTGAGGACCGGTGGGCGTGAAGTTATGCTGTTGGTTACTAGCTCTGGAAAAACTTCATGGAAGCAGTTGCCCTGTGTTGAGGCGCTGTGTTGGGGCGCTGGTGGGTGTTGGGCATGACTAGGGTTAGCCCTAAACAGTCACTCTTCGATCGTATCTTGACAGGAAATGATCGGTGCTCCATTTTGACATTGCGGTGAGCTAAAAGCAACTTACCGGTGTGATACAGTATTGTAACCAGTGAACTCTATCCTAGCCCACTAGTGTTGTGTTCTTCTGTGTTTATATTCCATACGGTACGTGCCAAACACCCAATATGGGCTATTCAAACTCCCCAAGATCTACGATAGGCCATGAGTGGGCCCAACGAACAGGGAGACCGGTAGTCCACCCCAGTGCGGGCCCAACGAACAAGCCTTACAAAATGTCTTGGAAGGTGCTGATTTTTCTATGGGCCATTGGTTGAGCCCCCCACTGTCTATCAAAAAATACCAATATGAGAGAGTATGATAGCATAATTGTACGACGTTTACAGCGCCATCTCTATCCGCTTCTATTCCACGGCGGTCTGTTGACTTCCTCTGTTTAGGTAAACGCGGCGTGGGGAATTTCTCAACAAAAGTGGAATGTATGGTTCGTTATTCATTAGATTACGATAGAAGCTTGTAGCCACAGTGATTATCTGTAATACCAAGTTCTACAAAATTTCTCTTGTGATATGACACTCTATCTCTAGAACTCGGGAGGGAGCAACCTGCTTCGTGCCGTACCATACGATTACCGGTACCGCGCGGTAGACTTCGAGTCGTGCCTTGCCAACGCCTTCCCCACTGCAAAGCCAGTAGCGGTTAGCCATAGCGAAGATCTCAGCCCCGATTACCGGCAAGCTAGGATCCCAGTTTACCCTACGGTACTCGCATGATATCAACTCGAGCGCCGTAGGGTACCCGTACAGTACTCGAGTACAAGCTTTGGAGATAAGATACGATACCGGCATCCGTGTGTCACACTGTAAAATGTCGTGAAACCCTGTCTTTCAAGCCAGGATAGGTTTAGTTTGACAAGTTAACAGTTTGGGAACACTGCGGTAGTTAATTCGCCTGGAGATATTAGTGAATTTTACGAGATTTTACGATACTTGTACTCCTACTTATTGGCGACTTAAATAGCGACGGACAGAGACTTCGTCTACTCGGAAGAGCACTCCTATTCACCACTGCGCCGGGAAAGCCATAGAGTATCATAGGCTACAATTTTTTTCATTTACACAGCACAGGACTAGCTTGGCAAGAGTTAGGATATTACCATTGTGATCGAGTACCGTACATATTTCACGACCACCCAAATCAATCATATGAACCCCTTAACTCCCCACCCCACCCAACATTTATCCCGTACGCTACTCCCTCACCGCGATCATGAAACGGATATACTTTTTACAGCCGTTGTGTTGATGTCCCAGATGCCCGGAGCCCATTGCAGACACTCATTCCACCCCACTCCTCCTTCTGATGACGTCCTTGACGATTTGCATCTCCCCGACTGCCTTGATCATACCCCTCTGCTTCTCGATGCGCTCCTCGAGCTCCCTGATCTCTTTCTTTTGCTCCTCCAGGCTGCGATCCACATCCGGGAGATTCGCAACCATAGCCCGAGCCTTTTCCATCTTTAGCCGAATGTGGCTCGATTCGTGGTCGACATCCTTCAACTCAAGTTCCTCTCGGGAAACACGAAGGAGTAACGCGTGAAGATCCGGAACGAAGTCGAAAGCATTCGCAGGAAGGAACTCCGGGGGTGGATTCGAAGTGGCAATTGACGGGGGTTCGTTTGTCATACTGCCGCAGAATGCAGTTCGCCCAAGAGCCAAGAGATGGGGAGAGTGAGATGTGGGGGTTTGGTTGAGGTGTTTTTTCGAAGGTCGGGGAGACTCGTTGCGATGGACGGGATGGAATGGGACAAAGAACGGTACACCAAAATGCCGACACGCACAAATAACTTATCATATCATACTCACGTCGGTCCAAAGCTTGGCTGCGTTTGGTGGGTTTTAAGCCGCCGCTGGGTACCGTTCTGTACCACATGGGGCCGGAACCCGGCGTTGCGAGATAAGCTACACATAAAGAAGGAGGAAAAAAAAAACCGGGGCCACCGCCACCATACATCTCGGGTGAGATACCCACTGGCCAGAAAGTAGATGGGTGAGACCGCTGGGATCCAATTGCATATAGAGCTGTACTCGAGTAGTCATAATCAGTAGAAATCTTCTGGGACCACACAATATTTACCTCATATGGCTGCCCAAACAGATAACCGCACTCACCCCGCCCTAAACATCCCACATCCCTCCTCCTCCCGACCTTCTCTTCTTCTTCCCCTCCCTTCTAGTACCGGTACGGCCCATTCTTCTCTCTCTCTCTCCTAGATAGATATCAGGGTAATCCCTTTTCCATCGGACACTTCTCGATAAAATTATTTTTATCCTCCTTCTCTTTCCCACAAATACCCCGATCCCGTCTAGTATATAAAATATGGTTGACCAGAAGGCAGTTTTGAGTTTGTTTCCCCCATTGGTTAGCCTCGCTTGTCTATATGCCCTGTGCTAATAGATTTGGGCTTTTTTTAGTTGTTATCGACGGTTGGGGGATTTCTCCCTCTGATAATCTCCCTGGAGATGCCATTTACAATGCAAAGACCCCAGTAATGGACTCCTTCCGCGAGAATGCGGACGGATACACTACTCTCGAAGCCTCGTCTCTTGCTGTAGGATTGCCCGAGGGACTAATGGGTAACAGTGAGGTCGGGCATTTGAATATTGGCGCTGGGCGTGTTGTCTGGCAAGATGTAAGCAAAATAAAACACCCTGAAACACCCGGTCAGACTAAAAGAAAAGAAAAGAAAAACTAATGAAACCCCCAGGTTGTTAGAATTGACCAGACCATGAAGAAGGGTGGCTTCCCCGAAACTGAGAACATCAGGGCTTCAATGGTGCATGCAAGGGAGGGGAACGGCCGTCTCCATCTGTTGGGCTTGGTTTCGGACGGTGGAGTACACTCCCACCAGAACCACCTCTACTCTCTACTTTCAACCGCGAAGGAACTTGGGGTTCCACATGTTTATATTCACATGTTCGGCGATGGGCGTGACACAGACCCCAAGAGCAGTGCCAGGTATCTGCAGGAACTGATTGATAAGATCAGCGAGCTTGGTATGGAAGATACTGTCAAGATTGGGACGATCGTGGGAAGATACTACGCTATGGACAGGGACAAGAGGTATAGTAGCACAATAACTAACTCAAAATATCAGTGGTTAAGCTAATTTCTTTAACTCCAGATGGGAGCGTGTTAAAATTGCCTTGGAGGGACTCGTCCTAGGTAAAGGTGAAACCTCGAAGGACCCCGTCGCAACCATCGAAGCCAAATATGCGCATAACGAGACGGATGAGTTCTTGAAGCCGATCATCGTCTCGGGGGAAGAAGCAAGAATCAAAGGTACGCCAACCATTAGCACCCCACGTTCACTGTATCTTAAATAGCGGGGTTTGTGCTGATTTCGAATCAAGATAACGACACCCTTTTCTTCTTCAACTACCGTTCAGATCGTGTGCGTGAAATCACCCAGCTTCTTGGTGTAGACAATTCTCCTCTTCCCGACTTCCCTTATCCCAAGAACATCAATATCACTACAATGACCCAGTACAAGACCGACTATCCTTTCAACATCGCTTTCCCACCACAACGCATGGATGATGTCTTGGCTGAGTGGCTGTCCAGGAAAGGGATCAAGCAGTGCCATGTTGCCGAGACTGAGAAATATGCTCATGTTAGCTTCCCCGTGCACACCACACCGTATATATCAGCTGATCATGTGGGTGGAACAGGTAACTTTCTTCTTCAACGGGGGAGTGGAGCTGCAGTTTGAGAACGAAACCAGAGATATGGTTCCTTCCCCGAAAGTCGCTACCTACGATCAAGACCCCGGGATGTCATGTGCCGCGGTTGCTGAGAAGCTCAGTGAACGTATCGCCGAAGGAAACTTCGAGTTCCTAATGAACAATTTTGCGCCTCCGGACATGGTTGGGCACACCGGTGTCTACCACGCCGCTGTTCAGGCCGTTAGCCACACTGACACCGCGATCGGTGTTGTTTATGAAGCATGCAAAAAACATGGATATATTCTCTTTATCACATCCGACCACGGCAATGCCGAGGAAATGTTGAATGAAGGGGGTACCCCAAAGACCAGTCACACTACCAATCCAGTACCATTTATCATAGCGAATGCACCCAAGGGATGGGGTTTGAAAAAGGAAGATGGGGTTCTGGGCGATGTTGCCCCCACTATCCTAGCCGCGATGGGTTTGGACCAGAGCGATCATATGAGTGGCCAGAGCCTCTTGATCAAGTCCTAGTCTAGTTATCTGCCGGAATGTATTTTAGAGTTTTTTTGCATCTCAGGTGGGCTTAATAGAAGGTGGGTTAAGTGCACTGGATAGAGTATGATAAAATAAACTCAATTCCAAATCTTAGGCTGGGGTACTAGGGGCAACAACATCCCTTGTTCCTAGTATTGTCATGGAACAATTTTTGAAGTATGTGTCTGACTCCCAATTGTATTCTTCCGGGAATTAGCCACGGGTTCTATCCATCCTATCCCACACCAGCCCCCTACCATATATCAAGTTGCCAATACCTATCAATGACGCTTAAGTATCAATAAGAGACAGGTTAACTTAAGGGAAGTAATGTGGGGAGGAAATGGGGGAACACTTGAGTGACTTTGATACAAGTATCATCATTGGCACCTTCCGAACCTCCAAAACTGTACCTGAAGACAGAATTATTGCGTCACCTTTTGTGGAGATAGTCCCCCTTAGCACACCGCAGTCTGGGCATTATCCTTTCCCGTTGTATCACGCCAGGAGTCCTTGGGCAAGCCCCTAATTGCACACGCATCGACACACTTGCGAAGACAGTAGCGCCGGGTTCGCTCATTCTGGTCGGTTCAAACCCAACCCTCTTGCTACCTGGCCCCTGTGCTACCGTGGACCCCTCATTGGAACAGGAAACAACATGCGAGTGATTAAAGGTGATGTAGGGCAATTACTAAAAATGCACCAAACATGCGGTGCGGTGCGCAGACAAACCTCTAGTGCTTGCATCATTCTGCTTCCTACCCCAGCAGCCCAGTAGTTTTTTATGGTGAGGGAACTCTGTAGCCGGAGTAGGCGGACATTCATCTTGGCTTAGTAATAGTATGTTAATATTCCGAGAATTTCCTTCATATAGGTTATTATCTTGGAAAAATTCCATTAACTGTGTGCCCTAAGGAGATTGAAAGGAATTAACATGCCAAAAAATACCCTGGACATTTCAATTCTCTCACCCAAAATCTGCCCCCTTTTACGGTAAGCTTCAATAACTTTATGAAAACAAGATATTTCGATTTCCCCACTATTACTTTGAAGCTAACAAGCTACTCGGGCACCTAATAGAGTTATTTTTTATTTTTTTTTACTTATTGAGACTGTTGTTAAAAAATCTTTAGGCTTTGACTTTGGCCCTCGAGTACTCCACTTAGTACTCCGGCTGATTCCCTCTCACCATATATCCCAAGGTTGTGTAGACTAAGCACCGGCATCATTTTTCTTTGGAATACCGTAATATGATGTCAAGGCATAATTGTGGGGGTGCTGCCTAATTTGGGTAAATTAAGTTGTAACGCGTACCTCGCGTTTCCCAAGTCTCAGGCCTGGTAGACCGGGAAACGCGACAACTGGGTGGCGGAAGAAAGAAAAAAAGGAACCACCACATTTCTCCCCGGCACCTTTGGACACTGAATTTTCTCTCTCTCTCAAAAAGCTTCCACCTACCGGGAGTCCTTCATTCTCCTACTCCTTTCTCCACCCCCCCCCCTTTTTCCTTCCTTTCCAATCCAGCGCTGCAACGGTCGTGACTCGATATCTTCTCGACCGACAACCACCTCATTGCCACCCAACTTGTACCTATACAACTAAGATGTCTTCTGTCGGCAAAAAGAGAAGAATAATTGTTTTAGACAGAAACGGAAACCGGAGGGAGACAGAGTCAGACGAAGACCGCGTTCCTCATAAGAAAGTTAAGAATGATACTCTGGAGCAGCGCCGTGCGCGGTCGTCGCAGCACACGAAGAGTAGCTTCGAGGAGGATCTGGGGAGACTCACTCAAGAAGTCAATGAACTTAAAACAGGTATGGTTGGGAATTAGGTTTTTGTTTGCTACCGATTGGTTTGTCTAATTTGTGTGTAGGGGGACAAGAGCAAGACCAGCACTGGCCCCGACCCAATCTACCAGAAAGTTGGAATCCCGGTGATGAAGATTTGATCTTTCAGCAGATTGAGTGTGATGAGGGAACATTTAACGGGAAAACTACAATTCAGCTGTTTGGTGTGACGGAGGTAAGCTGGACTCAATTGGGTTATTGCTTGCGGGCACATCGGAAAATAAAATTGGATTCTAATAACGGCTTATGATCACAGACTGGCCATTCGGTTCTCCTTCATATCACGGATTTCCACCACTACCTTTACGTCGCGGCCCCGATCGGATTTACTCAGCAGCATCTCCAGGGTTTCAGAGGATTTCTTGAGGCCAAGCTCCAGAATGGCTTGGAACCTGCAATTGCTGGCGTCCAGATTCTCTTGCGTCAGAATCTCTATGGGTTCAATGGAAATCAGCTGTCCCCGTACATTAAGATTGATGTTACCGACCCAAAGCTCATTCCTCGTCTACGGAGTTTGATTGAGCATGGAGATGCAAATTATCAAAAGATGTGGCCTGCCGAGGATGGGGGCCTAAAGACATTTGACGCAATTCAGTATGTGATGAGGTTCATGGTCGACACAGAGATATCCGGAATGAGTTGGGTGGAGGTTCCTGCTGGAGAATACCACTTGGTTGGTCGGAGGGAGAAACAGTCGAACTGCCAGATTGAGGCGACGGTTAACTTCAAGAAGTTAATTGCCCATCCCTCGGAGGGAGAATACCAGAAGATGGCTCCATTGCGGATTCTGTCCTTCGACATCGAGTGTGCTGGGAGGAAGGGAATTTTTCCCGATGCAGAGGTGGATCCTGTCATTCAAATTGCTAATATGATTACGAGATACGGCGAGAGCAAACCATTTATCAGAAATGTCTTCACTCTAGGGACATGTGCGTCTATCGTGAATACACAAGTCCTATCATACAAAAATGAGGGTGAAATGTTGCTCAGTTGGAGTGATTTCTTACATCGGGCGGACCCGGATGTCATCATTGGTTACAATATTGCCAATTTTGATTTCCCTTATCTGCTTGAGCGCGCGAAGAACCTTAAACTTGTCCGGTTCCCCTATTGGACACGACTCGGGCACGTGAAATCGGAAGCAAAGGATTCCAACTTTTCCAGCAAACAGATGGGGAACCGCGATACGAAAGCAACCAACACCGATGGCCGTCTCCAACTCGACTTGTTGCAGTTGGTCCAGCGTGATTACCAGCTTCGTTCGTATACTTTGAATTCTGTTAGTGCCCACTTCCTGGGCGAGCAGAAGGAAGACGTGCACCACAGTATGATCACTGAACTACACAATGGTACTGAGGACTCAAGACGTCGTCTCGCTGTGTATTGTCTTAAGGATGCTTATCTTCCGCAGAGATTGATGGATAAGCTCATGTGTTTGGTCAACTATACAGAGATGGCTCGTGTCACGGGTGTTCCATTTAATTACCTGCTGTCTCGCGGACAGCAGATTAAATTCATTTCACAGCTATACAGGAAGGCTAAGGAGCAAAAATTAGTGGTACCAAACCTCCTACCCCATGGGGGTGATGAGCAGTACGAAGGAGCAACAGTTATTGAGCCAGAGAAGGGATATTACGATGTACCGATTGCGACTCTCGATTTCGCAAGCTTGTATCCTAGTATCATGCAAGCGCATAACCTTTGCTATACGACTCTTGTTAAGAAGGGTACTTGTGACCGACTCGGCCTTCAAAAGGACATTGATTACGAAATAACACCAAATGGCGATCGTTTCGTTAAGGCTCATAGACGCAAGGGGATGGTGCCATTGATTTTGGAGGCCTTGCTTGGAGCAAGGAAGAAGGCAAAAGCGGATCTCAAGAAAGCGACCGATCCTTTCGAGAAGGCCGTTTTGAACGGTAGACAATTGGCCTTAAAGATCTCGGCCAACTCTGTTTATGGCATCACTGGTGCGACGGTGGGGAAGCTGCCATGTTTACAGATTGCATCAAGCGTTACGGGTTACGGTCGTCAAATGATTATGCGAACAAAGGAGGAGGTTGAAAAAAGATACACCATTGCTAATGGATATACCCATGATGCCAAGGTCATATACGGAGACACGGATTCCGTAATGGTGAAGTTTGGGCCCAAAGATCTTCCTACTGCCATGGAGCTCGGAACAGAAGCCGCGGAATTCGTCTCACAGAAATTCATTACTCCTATCAAGCTGGAATTTGAAAAGGTGTACTTTCCGTATCTGCTTATCAATAAAAAGCGGTATGCCGGCCTTTACTGGACGAATACCGAGAAGCACGACAAGATGGACAGTAAGGGAATTGAAACAGTTAGACGAGACAATTGCAGACTGGTTCAAGTTTGTATCGAGACGGTCCTGAGAAAGCTTTTGATTGATCAAGACATCGAAGGGGCCCAGACGTGTGCATTCCTGTCCTTGACTGATGGAACTAGGTTTGGTATGCTAATTAGCAGTTTGTAGATATGTCAAGAATTTGATTTCGGATCTTCTCCAAAACCGCGTTGATATGAGTCAGTTGGTAATCACAAAGGCTCTTTCAAAGAGCGATTATACTGCCAAGCAAGCGCATGTGGAGCTCGCCGAGAGAATGAGGAAACGTGATGCTGGTATGTGGTTCCTTGAATTTTAGGGTGGTGTGTTTTAACGGAGGTAATTGCGTGTGACAGGTTCTGCGCCAACCCTTGGAGATCGTGTCGCCTATGTCATTGTGAAGGGCGCAGGTGGTGCAAAGAATTACGAAAAATCCGAGGATCCAATTTTCGTGCTCGAGAACTCTGTTCCCATTGATACCAAATACTATCTTGAGAATCAGCTTTCGAAGCCCCTGGGCAGAATTTTCGAGCCCATCATTGGTGATAGGAAGGTCCAGCAGCTGTGTGCGTACCCCGTTCTAATATTCCATACTACTAAGTTTAGTGAGTTCTAATATTTTATACATAGTGACCGGTGATCATACGCGCACCATCTCAGTTTCAGCACCCGCAGTCGGCGGACTCATGAAGTTTGCTAAAAAGACGGAAACATGCATGGGATGCAAGATCCCGCTCACAAAGAAGGAAGAGTCTGGTGCTGCTGTTTGCTCAGATTGTGAATCTCGATTTGGCGAACTGTATCAGAAGACTGTAACTAGAGTTTCTGATTTAGAGGTCAAGTTCAGCAGACTCTGGACGCAGTGTCAGAGGTGCCAGGGGAGTATCCATTGCGAGGTCATTTGCAGTTCTCGGGATTGCCCGATCTTTTATATGAGAATGAAGGCGAAGAAGGATGTTGTTGATGCTGGAAAGGACCTGAAGAGGTTTGATGTCGACATTAGTTGGTAGTGGGGGAATTTGTTTGACTTGTGGAATATTCATATATTATGCTTTCTTTTCTTATCTTTTTTTTTCCATGCCTCATTTCCTTGCTCTATCATACCTGCTCTGCCTCTTGGCTTTACTTTTCTCTTTTTCTTTTCGTGCGTCATTTCAGTGCTCTATCTGCCCTACCTCTTGGGTTTAACTTCCCATAGTTTTCTCTCGCTTTTTTTTTGCCTCATTATTGCACTGCATACGTATGGGTGGGGGGGTTAAGGTATTCAGGGAGATGGTTCACTTAGAATGACAATATTCATTAATGCACCTGACATGACTAACAATGAATGCTTTACTCTATTTTCTACTACTGGACTTGAAGGGTGAAAATAGTGGCAATAGATCATACCTTGTGAATTTCTAGCAGCTATCATGAGGTCACCGGGACATCGTGATATAATACTCTAGCCCCCAAAATTCCTGCCATTAGAATTCAGAGCATCTAGCTTACTATCCCATTGATACCATATCGTACAGGCTGTGGTCTATGTCCCTATCTCACCTTCCCTTCCCTAGCTGAAAATTCAGTTCTCCCTCCCTCCCTCCTCTGTATCATTATTATTATCATCATCAGACTCACTTTCCGCACTCTCTCCCGTCATCCTTGATTCACCCTCGTCAGTCGCGACAGCTTGGTATGTATTGTCCTTCCTTTCCTCATCACGCCGGCCAATTATCACGTTTCCGGCGACAAGTAGGCCTGCGCCTAACCACCATGTTGGCGGAAGGGATTCAGCGAATACTGCCCAGCCGAGGAGCGCTGTTGTCTGTATTCAAGAGAAGAAGGTTAGCTTTGGAAAGCGGTGGGAAGGGTGAGGAGAACAAACCATAAAGTTCGCGGAAGTATTGACTATACTAACTTTCGTTGCGGTAGGTCCTTTTGCCAGCGCTGTGGTGAAGAGCCCCCACATCTGCGATGGTTAGAACGTTAATGTCCATTTTTCCACACCATGTTGGAAAGCCAGTAGCCGATACAGCATACGATTGCGTTGAATAATAAATTTAACCCGAAAAACATCTACCCCCGAACCTCATGTTAACCTTGCCCGTGGACATGCATGGGCAGATAGTAGGTACCCCTCGAATAACATATTCGATAACTTTGGAATCAGCCGGCAGGGAGAATAAGCGGGCGATTGAGGCGGAGAGGCTGGTGGTGAGGGCTGTTGTTGTGAGTTTTGCAAAGAGTCCGTTAAATGCGGCCGCTAGCCCGCTGGCGACTGCTAGGTGGAGCCAGGACATTGTTTGGGGGAGTTGTTTGTCTGAAGTTTGTGCAAAATACGGGATCAATGGGGGTTGTGGTTCGGGTATTAAAGTCTTGTATTGTGGTATATGATATCGTAGCTTTGTGGGTTTGATCGGTGGCGATGTCCAGCGTTGACCGGCAGCCGAAGGCCAGCAAGGTGAACCCCTGAAATGTAACGCTAAGCCTTTGATGTGCTGCCGATAACCACGAAAGCCTCAACTACCACTTCCAACGCCCACCTTTTTTTTCTCTTTCTCCTTCTTTATTGCTTCTCGCCAAACCTGCGGCTTCCTCTCTTTCTCTACCCCTCCCCCTTGGTCGTGACATAATGGACCGGCGGAGTTTTACCGTTATCATTGCGGCGGTGGTGCTCAGACTGGCTATGTTTATGGCGTTTCCCTCACTGCCGGATCTACTGACCAATCGTGTGGAACTGTCTACGCCTGTAACGAGCTTTAAACGGTTGCAGGAGGGTTTGTTCTTGTATACCCATGGATTGTCACCTTACGATGGGGGGGTTTTTCACCAGGTTTTTACCTTTCCACCTCTTGGGGGGGCTTCTGCTGACAGCGCTGTTGTAGGCCCCATTACTGCTAGCGTTCTTCACTACACTCCCGTCGAACCCGATCGTCGTATACCTCGTCTACATACTCTCAGATGTGCTCTCGGCATACTCACTCATACAAATTGCCACCTCGGGGGTGAGCGTTTCGACACCCTATCACACCTCATCCAGGAAATCTTCAGCTTGGCCGCCATGGGCTGTCGCCGCAGCGTTCCTGTTCAACCCGTTCTCTATCGCAACCTGTATCGCTCGTCCGACAATCGTGTTCACAAATACTGTGATTCTGACGGCTATTGCAAAGGGGGTTCAAGGGCAGGGTGTTGCCGCTGTGTTAGCTCTCGCAATGGCCTCGTACTTGTCACTTTACCCCGTGCTATTGCTCCCGCCGATGGTCCTGTTAGCGTACGACACCCTGCCAGCGGTTAAGAAGAAGGAGTGCTCTCTAGGGAGCTTTGCCGCCGTGTTGACTTCCGTGTTTACCTTTGCGGCGGCGGGACTCGGCGCGTTGTCATGGGGGATCACGGGCGGGAGTTGGGAGTTTCTGGCATCGACGTATGGGGTGCATCTGCTGCTGCCGGATCTGACGCCGAATGTGGGGCTTTGGTGGTACTTTTTTATCGAGATGTTTGATTCGTTCCGGGAGTTCTTTTTGTGTGTCTTCCAGTTGCATTTGGCAGTTTATCTGGCGGGGTTGTGCTTGCGGTTGAGGTCCGTTATTCTTGTTTCCTGAAAGCTCCGTCGTCGGTATCCTAATTTGGGTAATAGGAAACAACCGCTATTTGTGATTACAACCTTGTTGGGCATAAGCTCCATTTTCAAGTCGTATCCTTCCATTGGGGATACTGCGTTATACCTTTCTTTGCTGTCGCTGTATAGACATATATTCCCATGTATGTCTTTTCTCCCCTCCTCCCTCTTACATTCCGATGCTGATACGGAGCAGTGATGCGCTACACTTTTTTTGTCACCTCCACACTCCTCTACGCCACCCTTTTGGGCCCCGCGTTTTATCATTTATGGATATACGCCGGCTCTGGCAACGCGAACTTCTTTTACGCAATCACCTTGGTGTGGAGTCTTGCGGTCACGGTCCTTGTCTCGGATGCTATCTTTGCCGTGCTGCGGGATGAGTGGGAGACTGAGAGGCCGGAGATGAAGGGGAAGGAGATTGTGCAGATATAATGGGAGGCGGGGGTTGCTTTGGTAGGGCGTTTTTGGGTGGGATTGGATTGGATGGGATGGGATGGGATTTGTTGTAGCTATAGAAGTACATAATAAGATCATATGACACGGTGCTGGGCATTGGCTTGGGTAAGTGACGGGAGTGCGGTTTGCTTGGTCAACTTGTGATTGGGCATGTGAATGCTTGTGGGATGAGTAAAGGTGGTGTGTGTCGGGTATTTGGCGATATACGCCACCTTGAAGGCGTAGGGTCTTACATCATGAAGGATCACTCGCACGCAAGACTTGTCGAGTGAAGTAGAAAAGAGAGTTTAGGTGGAGCAGAGAGAATTCAGTTAGGTACTTTTGTGGGGGGGTATATGATCGTTTGAGTGAGCAAGAATTGTTAACCGTTTTCTTGACTTATCACCAAAGTGGATGACCACTACACTCAAACCCCGCTGTCCCGGATCTCTATAATACGGATACCTCGCTGTCCCGTATAAAATGTTGTGAATTCCAAAAATTTCCACAGTAAAACTTGACTCGTTGTTCCGGATAACCCGCTGTACCGGACAGATTCTTTAGATTTTGGCCGTCCGGGATAACGGGGTGTGAGTGTATATACAATAGAAAGCCCAATAGACCAGATATCCACATTCCTTCCAATCCATACCATCCCTCATTCCAATCTAACCCACGACCAGACGTCCATCTGGTGGCTACATTCTTTCCAATCCACACCATTCCTCCTATCTCCTCACATACGTCTAGACTGCTTCTTGCATGTGGTTATCAGGAAGTCCCTAACAACCCCAGCGATATCACAACATCGAGAAACCTTGCCTGTGCTTGTGTTGTGTTGAAGAACTACGGCACAGTATTATACATGCTCGTCACATCTATCAACAAGTATTCACCTGTGTGCACCACACAGCCTCATGATTATCGGAGGGAATCTTCTAGTTATACGATTGTTTTTATTGTTTTCTTAAATTCTACCTTATCTTGCCCTAGTCCTAGAGAATATCTTGCTCTCTCAATATCAGTGACTTTCATTTCTTTGGGCTTTCGCTCTTACCCTCTTTAAAGTTTTTCCGTCCCAGCTGTCCCGGCAGTTTTGGGGACCGCCTTGTAATGGTATAGAGTTTAGTTCTGTGTGAACCTACAATTCGGGCAAAACCGAATAAAACGAAAACCATCCCCCTCGTGCACAAATCCCTTTACCATCTTCGTATTAATTCACGGAAACGTATCGTATGCCTTCGACCCTAACATGCCGCCTCTGGAGATAGTCTTCCCGCCGTGGTTCCTTGGAGGGAGCCTACTGCACCCCCTGAGTGGATTGGTGCATTTGGGTGGGGATGCTACGTCAATGTAGGGCGAAGATGTATTGAGGCTTGTAGTCCGTGTTTAGTATTAGGTGTTGAGGAGGTTTAGTGGTAGGGGTAAAGTTTTAATAACTGGTGGGTGGATTGGCACGTCCCGGCCAGGGCACCAGATCTCTGGTAGCGTGAAGATGCTGGAAGTGTGGTTTATTGGGGAAGGGGGGGTGAGAGAGGTGGACTAGCGTCTGGATACTGGTGATTGGTGGGTATGATGCTAGTGCTAGCAGATCTAGGGTGATAGTGGAGGTGTTGATAAGGGGGTGCTTGAGTGGAGGCTGGGTATATGATACCATATTGTGCAGGGGCGTCGGGGCGTGACCATCTCGAACTTCCACGGAGGAGCCGGAATATCCCGTTATGCTGCGGTATTGGGCTTGTGGAGTGAGTGTGCTTTTTCTGGGGCTGGTGGAGAAGGGTGAGATGTTCACTAGAGTATGGTGCCTTGCATGCAAAAGGTGTACCGTGCTCCATGCAACATGTAACACTCAACCCTCTATGAGACCAGCACTGTACCCTAAATCCTGGCGCTATAGTAAAACAGTATCTTTCACTTACATCAGCATAATAAATTGATGATATATTAATTTTAATACGGATCAACGGTATTATAATATTATCATGCCAATATTGACTTTATTATATCTCCAAGTCTGCGATATTGGTACTAACACAATGGTGAGACTTGTGCCTTTTATGTATAACTTGAAGCTTGTGGTGACTGGTTGCAAGGCGAGGAGAGGAAGGATTTGAAGGTGCTATAGGCATATTAGGACCCCCACCCCGTGAAATCTCTACCCGCCTCAGTCTCTCTCAGCAAGTATGACTTCGGAGAGTAGAACAATTAACTAGTTGTGTCAGAACTGTTGAAGCCATAGCATTAGAAGTAGGAGGAGAAGTAGATTGATATCGAAGGTAAACAGTAGTCCATCTCATTGTAATTTGCGACAGCCGGAGCCGGTGTCCAGTTTGTGTAAAATTTGGAGGCACAATATCAATGGAGGGATAAAGAGTGCTGGAGTTGGGATATTATTAATTTACCATATTGTTGTGAATACAGGTTGATATTTTATTATGGAGGTAGGATTTAGGGTATAGTGCTAGTCTCATAGAGAGTTGAGCGTTACATGTTGCATGGAGCACGGTACACCTTTTGCGTGCAAGGCACCATATCAAATAGGAGCAGGAGGGGAACTTGGGGCAGAGGAGGAGGGGAAGGGGGGGGGGGGGGTAAATCCTGTGAATGGCAGATATGATACTCTGGAGAAAAAGTGAAACCAAGATGGAAAATCTCGAGTATCATAGAGGATGTGATACCGGCGATAAGGGAAGAGGACAAGGGTAGCCAAGAAGGGAAGTGAATGCCCTGAAACAGCCTTTTACGATATACTTTTCTCGAATTATTCTGCTGAGATACTGGATGGCCCCAATTTCCCGTAGAGTATGGATAGGGTGTTCCTATTTTTACTTTTTATTTTTATTTTCATGGAGTTCGTATTACGAAGGGTTTAGGATACGATAGATTCACAGTGGGTCGCTCGAGTATTCGACGTGTTTCACCCGCTAGGATTAGGGCTTCAGCAATCAGTATATCATAATTATCATAATATAGACGAGATATTAGATAAGGCGCCGCCGCGCCGTCGGGTCCGGGAGAAAGGAATATTACCCCTGTCATGCCTCAGATCTGTCACCTCAAAACGGGAATATATATATTCGTGTAACGGCCTCGCCTCCTCCCCGACCTAGCACTTAAACTAGCAAAAATGCAGTTCGTTGAACATTTTTGGCACCTACTGTCTCTCCACTAGGCAGGTGGAGGGCCCGAACCAGCAACATTCCCTGCCCGCAGGGAAATGACGTGATAGTGATCGGATTCTTTGCAGTTAGACTATCGGAACCTGTCGATTATCACATCTCTTCTTTAGATCTGGGTTTTGATGGTATTTTGGTAGGGATTCTTTTAAAGATACAATAACAAGGCATTGGGAGCTGCAAAATCATTCACCTACGGGTATCGAAGCTAGTCGGTGCGGTACACAGAGTGCGATTGCCCAAGGCTAGATATGCTGTGTTTAGCCACCTTGGTGTTAATCACTTCCCTTCGATTGTATTAAGAGTGCCTTCGTAGCATTGTTTCCGGGGAGAGTGGTGGCACCGTGCTAATATCTTGCTTGAGTAGAGTGAATTATTGGACCATGTGCTATGCAGCCGAAGATTCCCTACTTGGTAAAGGGCGGGAGGGGGGCCGCTCGGGGCTCGGGGGGGGGGGGGCAGAAATAGAACAGAGCGAGAAAGTGTCATACCAATCCTTGTAGGAGGAGGTAGCCCCGACAACATATGGTCCGTTTGACACATCGTCATTCGAGATCACGTTCATCTCAAAATGTGTTTATCTAAACGCGTCTAGAAGGAGTAGGAAAACCCGCAGCACCCAGCTTAATATTACTATCCCCTACTTCCCACCATACATATTGTTGGGAGGCATCGTTATGCGCTTTGGCATGCGGGTAATAAGCTATTAATCTAAACACTACTTTGAAATACCACCCAGACACGTCCTCAAAATGACGATATGCCAAACACCGCCGTCCTATCGAAAACGTGATTTGAGCCCAAAACGCATTTCGAGATGACAGATAGCTCAAATGACAGTTCGCCGAACAGCCCCATAGCGCTTCGCCCGGCTGTCCCGTTTTTTGCGGCACCCCGAGAAAGGTTAGGTTGCGATTGTGGTTCGTTGGGCGTCAACCAAAGGCCCTATCGGGAGCGAACGCTTGGTATGGCATCCTGCTGCATGCGGAATAGGGCTGGGCATGCGCCGCTGAATGGTAGCTCTGCGCCTGTTCCCAGCGAACATCCGTTGCATCCCACGGTTGGCCCTGCCGGAGTACAATACTGGTAGGGGTGGGACGCAACAAGGCTCGAGCCTACTTTTGCCTTTTTGCCCTGGAATGGTTCGTCGGGCCTTCTTTCTCTTTTCTTTTTTTCAATACCTAACTATTGTGCGAGAACATTGGAGTGTGGGCAAGGTATCACAGCAACCACGAATGCAACCCCCCCCCCTGCAAGACCCATGATGCGTATTCGAGTGATATCCTATGATATGTTGGGGGACTGCTCTGTTGCGTTACACTGCCAAGACCCAAAAACTAAACCAAATTCTGTCTTTTCTTTTTCTTCTTTTCTTTTTTTCTGCCTTGGTTACTCTCGGAGGAACAAAATGGCCGCGCACTTATTCTCCTCCTGTTCGTCCGAGGGGAGTTCTACGGCGCTCCTGTCCAACATGGATAAGCTCTCGGTAAGTTATCTGGGGCTGAAGATCCCCTCCCCTGTCGGTGGGTTTACACTTACGGCATTCCCGAGCTATATTACCGTAGACCTCTACCTGACAGGGATCCAGGAACCCACGTTTTTCACTTCCTCGGATTATTGTGATATGTTAAATTTACCGACAGGGCCTTTAGTCATTAGGCCATCAGGCTGATCGAAATTCACCTCTCTTCTTTGAACCTCGAGTGCGATCATCTCCGGGCAGGAAATTTTTCGGGGGGGTCTGAGTGCAATGTTTCCAACTCTGTGACTCTTAAGGTGCGCTTGACGTATTCTATCATGGTTTTTGTTTTTGAAACCGGGTTTGCCTGACGGGGCAGATTTTGAAATAAAGAGGTGATTCGGTCGGGATAATTTAGGTTTCCGCTAGCCAAAGAGACGATGACAGGGACGATGGGCTACGGTACCTTGAAGGA